GGAAAACATTTTTAAAATGCACATACTAGGAAGAAGAGCAATAAGATGGCATTATAAAATGAAAAAGTCTGCTTTTTTATTTTGAATGGCGAAGACGTGCTCACCCACAGACATTCACTGGTTCATTTTGAGGTATTAGCAAAACAACAAAGCTAATGCTTTTCACGGAACTTACGTAATTACCCATTATACATTGTGATATTGCCTAGTTCGTTGGTCCGTTAGATCGGATTGCTTTCTCACTACAACCGAACCGCTCCAGAGTTCGTTTTCAATCGAGCCGAGACCACCTCGTTCAGGCGATCTCGGACCGATTGTTTTGGCGCGGATCCGGGCACGATTGCTGTGTTCACATATGCCCAAATGAACCGAGCTAAGGGGGGAAACGGTCCAGGTTCCGAAACAACGGGCCAGGTGTGAAAGCACCCTAAATCTGCAATTCATCGACTGGCCGCTAGAGGCTGGCTCCAAAAGGGAGTCAGTCCCATAAACTCCCCATGTTAAAATGCCCAACTTTACAGCAGAAAAAAATGTGTTTACAGCCTGGTACAAAAAGTGGTTTTGGTCTATATAGCTAATTTTGCCCTTCATGACAACTGTGAGGGGGGTGAATTTTTTTTATAACTCATCCGCTTAAATTATATTAAGTCTTAAAGTTCTGCATAATTAAGGGCGTGGCTACTTGAGTGACAGGTGGATTGCAGCTGCTGTCACTGCTGTCGAGCTAGGTGGGCATGGTTTCAGCAACCAGCTCCCACCTCTTTGCCCATTTTCAATCATCCAGGAGTGACGTGCGGTGATGCGCTGCCAAGATGGCTGAGGCCCGCTCCGCCCACTTTGAACTTTAAAACTCTCTTCAGAAACCAACGGGTGACGTCACGGACACTACGTCCATGTTTTTATACAGTCTGTCTAAAACGTAAGTCTCTTAATTAACTTGTTTATTGAACTGTTGTAAATTTTTTTAAAAATCTACACATTTGTAATCATAGTACTTTTTGGAGAAAAAAAAAACTGCCCTCTTCGTGTGAAAGGAACTATATGAAGTGTTAGGCTATGAATATACATTTTCTGCCCCCATGTCTTGAATTTGTGATCATTATAAATTAGGCTTGCCGCGATTGACGGTGATACCGGTGTTAAGCCGCAACACCGGTTACGTCACTTGCCCACCGCGTCACCGACCCCCACCGTCGTTTAGATTTTTTTATAGTAATAAAAATCATTTAGTTCAGTAAAAGAACAGACACTACAATTTATTTGAATAGACTGAATCATGCAGTGAAAGAACACACTCTAAAGGCGCATGCACGTAATGTATGCGTGCACCCTGTAGGTGTGTTTTGAATCGTTTTTGCAGAATACATGATAATGTCAAACCGCACATCGTTAAAACAACAATTACTTTATTATCGCAGACGATATATATCGCACACCCTTAATTCAGATACTGTGTAAAACCGGAAAGCGCTCATACTTTCTCTAATTTTGTAGTCACGCAGGCTTGCCATTTGAATGCACCACTGGTTATTGCAGTGCAAAAGATCTGCAGGGTTGTCTTGCTTGTTGCAACGTGACCACCTGACTTCCTGACGGTTGTCATTCCACAACAAGCGAGTCGAAGTTGTCTGAACAGGAAGTTGCCCCTAAGAGAAAACAGACCTGTTGCAGGGTTGCAGTGTTATTTTACACTTTTTTTTTTGTTGTTTCCTTTTGAACTCCTTTGCCAAAACATTTAATTGGAAAAAGTAGATTTAAAAAAAAGAAAGC